AATTCATAACTCGAGAATGAGAAAAGCTACATAGTTAAAGCTTTGGGGGAATGTTCCCTACTCATGCACAAGCAAAATCAGGTGTTTAGAAGCACCCGAGCCCACTTACAGGCGCGTGGAAATTCTGGCGCGAAAATTACTAGCCCAGGAACGGGAAAAACTAGGAAGGTGGAACTTTCACGGGATGTTTCCTACTTATGTGCAACCAAAACCAGGTGTTTGTGGAAATTTTGGCGCGAAAATCGCTAACCCGGGAACGAAAAAAGTTGGAAAGCTGAAATCTCGCGGGAATGTTCCCTACTGATTTGGAAACAAAATCAGTTGTATAGAGACGCCCGAGACCCAAGTACGCCACGTGTGAGAGTTTTGGCGCGGAAATTACTAACCTGGGAAAGGGAGAAGCTAGAAAGCTGAAAATTACAGGATCTGCAGTATACCAATACATATAAAGAGCCGATCTTATACAGCATTTCGGCATATACGTCAGCTATCCTATACAGGAAATTGGGACATCCTGGAGGTATCCTATACAGAAATTTCACATATACAATACAGGATTTTGAGGCATCCTATACAGTTGATTCTATATATTGTACACATTTTATCCATATAAAGTACAGATAATCTCACATTCGCCAGCTATCCTATACAGAAAGTTTCATGTATCGCTGCTATCCTGTACACAAAAGGGCACTGATACATATAAAATATAGCTCCAGTACATGTACTCATATGTTTACGTGATGTTTCTTATACACATTCATTCGCTATCTTGTACATATAATATCCGCATCCAGATGCTATACTGGCAGCATCCCATCCACATAAATGGGGCACTATTACACGAATATATAGCTCCAGTACATGTATGCTGAATTTTCTATGCTGATGACAGAATCCGTCAGTGATGATGCACTGAACGGAAAACTAGGTGCACTGGGCCGTAGAATCAGGTGCGCGGGTGCATGCCAACATCATTTTAGCATAAACTAACATTGGGTCCACTATGTGTCTTCGAGAACGGATTGAAATGTGACCCAGCTGAGATGCAACCATTGGTTGTATCGCCGAACTGATGCACATGGAAACCATGCAAACCGGGTTTCAGGCCTTTGATTTCGCCCCGAATTACCGTCGGCAGGAATTCTTGACAGGGCTTTGGAAATTTCGGGATTTTTTTTGGTGCGTATTGAGCATGATTTATCTTGAACGTTGTCACGCCTAGTCCTCGATGAAGAGGTACGTGATTGGTGGCAAAGTTTGGCGTCAGTTCGTAGATTTCAGCCCAAATCCCCTTGAAATTTTTAAATTAAATACCAAATATTTTTAGATTTTGCAGAACAGGTTTTTCCCAGATTTTGAAATCTTTGAATAATAATATCAAGCGAAATACTGTGAGGGCAATTTTAAGGTATTACTCAAAAGACATTGTTCTCCATTTTTACCTTTCAGTGCAATTTACTTCCCTACTTGTTGGTTTCTTGCTCTTTCAATATGTTTTTTTAGTCGGAGAAAGTACCTCCTTCTGGTTTAGATATGGCAACTTTCGTAATAAGGTGACACTCAGCACAATCAAGGACATCTTAAAGCAACTAAAGCCTTGTCAGCGCTTTTGCTGGGGCAGACGTTGAGTTTCTCCCTTCAGGAATTGGAGCAAACATCAGGATTGCTAGCAAGCTAATCTCAGACGATGCAGCACTAGTCAAAGCAACTGGAAAAGTTATAATCTGCGTAGTCGAAGAAGCAAATTATGAATTAGAAACTGCTTTATATATTTCATCCTATACCTTACTTTTCTATAGAGCAGTTATTGTGTTTTCGAAATTTAAAATTCACAAATTACTCCAATCCAAAATTACTCCAATCAGTTTAGAAATCGAAAGAAATCCGGTGCTTGAACTGGAATTTTATTCGATGTTTCAGGTGTTGCAAGGGTTCGATATTCATCCATTGTACTTATTAGCTCTCAATGCTCGAATTTCCGCGATATTACTCTTCCCATTCTGATGTTTTCATGACGGCATATCATTATGGCGAGGTGTTGCTCGAAACGTACGTTTATTTAACAATGGTGGAACAACCAACCCCTCTACGACTCGTTCATTCGTTTCGATGGTAAATTGGTACTAGGATATACCAAGAATAGGGATCCAGAGTGGTTTTCTGGAGGGAGCGAGTGGGGGGCGGGAGTGGGACTTCTGGCGTAACGGCGACCGGAAAGGAGGGGAGGAGAAAGTGGGTCTACTGGTACGGCAACGATCCGGGGGAGTGCAAGGGGGGTGAGCGTGAGGCGGGGTGCGGAGGAGAGTTTTCTTCAATTTTAGCTCTAACCCAGACTTTTCTAGCACTGGTGTCTGTGAGGAATCGACCCGTCGCTTCCTCCTCCTCTTCTCTCCACCGAATCCGCATATGTATACCAGGGAGTCAAAACTACCTTCAGCTTGTTTCTGTGTAACTCTTGGAAGAGAAGACTATCGAAAAGCTTGCCAGTGAATGTTTACTGTTGGCGCTTGCTACAACTTTGGTTACTTCCTTAGTGTTTC